ATTTTAAAAAGTGTGCTTTTCTTCTTTATTCTATGAACTATTATCCCTTTATTTACTTTATGAAAGAAGATTATTCAGATCGGTGATAGCTAACTATTCCCAGCAGCCCTGGCAACAAAAATTTGTTTTGGTTCTTCGTACTGATAAAAATTTATATAACCCACGTAACTAACTTCTTCAGCAACCATTGAAACAAACCAGCACAATTATCTTGCTCTTCTATTATTTCCACCAGGACTCCTGTCTCTCCTTTCTCCGAGGGCCTGCTTGAGACCTTTCATGGACCCCCAAAGACCAAACTAGGGTCCTCTTTGTCAGCCCAACACACAGCGACCCCCTGGGAGACCGAGTAGAACTGCACCCTGTGGGGTGTCCATGCCTCAGCCTTTCTCCTGAGGTGACCTGGTTGGTGACTGGGTGCTGGGGTTAGCAGCAGAGCGCAGGGCTACTGTTCACAAGCCTAGCTGTCTCCCAGGAGGAGCACATTCCAGCTCCCTCCAGCTTCTCCAAAGGTAAAGGCACAAGAGATGACCCTTGTTTAGTTCTAAGTGTGGGACTGAAAAGGAGAGGGGACTTTCTCACAGCTGACCTAACTACAGCAATAGCCAATGCCGACCTGAAAAGGCACAGATTCCAATGGGTACAGAAATGCTTTTCCCGAGAGTCTGCATTTTCTGTCCTGATTTTATCATTTAGCCGCTTCATATTTCACACCCTGTAGAATGCCCATTTCCTGGAGTGCCGGCTTGCTCTTGCACTTAAACAAGCAACAGCTCCTTGTGTGCCCATCATAAAAGATGCGATGATGCTTTGGGGCCCAGTGGCAGCAGAGCACACAAGAAAAGTGTTTCCTTTTGTAGGGAGTGGAGCCACCAATCTCTTAGATAGGGTGTGAAAAATTGGTAGGCACATCAAGGGTTGTTCTATTTATCGTTTTATGACAAACCATGCCACTGGGAGATGGGTGGGTGGGTGGGATTGGAACTACTTTCTGTGTATTGTCATTGGTAAACATGGGACCACGGGACAAGGACACACCCTGTGTGGACATCACATCAGGATGTCAGTCAAACACGGGGAGCTTCCAAAGTCCATCCAGTTATCAAATTGCCTTCATGAAACACAGCACCCTGGTTCTAGCAAATAAATCTAAGGTTTTCAGAGTTCAGCAGGCTCTCTTACAGATGTGGCCTTGGCTGGAACAAGCCAGCGAAAGGCAAAAAGGCTGTGGGAGCCAGTTCTATTGCAGTGGGCTAAGTGTTGGAACCCCTACCTACTCTGTTGAAGCCAGATGAGGCCGTCTGCACATGCCAAGGCTTGACAGCCTCAGAAACCCTCGGGAGCAGTTCTGTCTGTCCAGCAGGGTTGCCATGAGCTGGAATCAACTCCACAGAAGTTCCTGAGTGGCCAGAAAGGCTCAGCACCCAACGACTCACCACAAAGTGGGTAGTTCAAACCCACCCAGGGAGGACTCAGAAGTCTGGCGAGGGGCTTCTTGGAGGACTCTGTGGAGGACTTCTTGTGAGCCACACAGGGCCTTGCCAGCATCAGAAATGACTGGGCAATAATGGGTTTTAAAATACCATTTGCTCCTACAATTTCTTCTCCAGTGACTTCCCAATCCACACCCCCATTTCTGGAGCCTAGCATTTCCAAGCATTACTCTCTTAGGTGAGTCATTGAAAACAAGGCAGCACATCCCACAGATAGAGCTGAAAAGACCGGAGGGAGTGGGGCCCTTTCAGGAATCTTTTCTTTTGGAAAGGTGCAGGTAGCCCCAGGGGGTGAGATAGAGGAGAAGGAAGCTTTCATTGGGGAGGGAGAAACCTTGGCTGCCCTGGAGGCAAATATTAGCTGGGCTTGAGAGGAAAGATTATCAGACAGTCGATAAAGGAGGCAGAATAGGCAGTGGTGAAATTGAGCGAGCAGTGAAGTCAACTTAGAGAATGGCCTCTCCAATAAAGTCGTGTCCTTTCCCAGAGGTTCCGGGTACGTGGTCACCCATCTGCTGGGACGCCTCCTCCCAGGCTTGGCCAAGCCACCAATAATGACCTCAGTCTCAAACTGGAAGCAGAGTGAGACCCAAAGTGCTCTCCGGCACGAGCCACTGCAACCGCTCTTTCTTTTTCCAACCCCCACTCCCACCCTCTCCAGAGCCCATACATCTACAAAACTTCTCTTATCAATGCAGAGACCTTAACTTTCATAAACTCTGGCCAAGAGATAACATAACACCCCTGAGATCGATGCTATCAAATGAATAATATGACCAAAGTAGATAAAGAATAAATCTCTTGTCTCATTGGCAATCACATTTGGGATTTTCTCTCTTCTCTCCTATGTTCCTCTCTCTGAACTCTTTCTTTCCACTAGTGTTTAATTTGATTTTGCCAGATAAGGGGGAAAGGGAGCGCCAAACAATTGTATTTTGTGCAATCAGGGAATGGATTATTTTCATTTGATGCTGTTTCCAGTGCCTTTCCAGACTCTAACAAGAGGCGATTCTGCCCCATCCAGATCGCTGATGATGTCCAGTTTGGTGAGCAAATATCGGGCGAGTTAAAGGGCCTCTGTTGAAAGTCCAGAGTTTCAAAGGGCAAAAGCAACAGCTTTTAATTCAATTAAGCAAATACAATCTGAGTAACTATTGTGGGCAGAGCACGGCTCTCGTTACTGTGGGGGGAAATGACAGACTCTTGGCCTCGGAGCCTGAGAAGCCCACAGTCCAGCACTTTGCAGCCCTTTCCCTGAAAATAGGTTCATACTTGTTTATTTCACCAAAAACCTCCAATTATCTTATTTTTAGCCCAGATTTAGAGCCAGAGAGTCGATCAGAGTGCGTTTACAGTGGCTGGGGCTCGGTGTCCTTCAGTTCTATCAATGCTGGTCACCCTTAATATAAATTTAAATCCTTGACTACTGTGGGAGGGGGACGTCATCATCATCATCGTCATCCTACTACTACAGCCTCCTCCTCCTCCTCCTTCAACTACAGCTTCTCTCCCATCTTCCCTTCTACCCTTACTATTAAATTGATAGGTCTCAGGCCTGCATTGGGGATAAAGAGAAGCTGAGAAAACAGCGGCTGGTAATGAACTGGCTTTAGGGAGATTTGTCTGCTTTGAGGTTCTTTCTCTTTCTTCTGTCCTTTCCCAGGTCTTGGCCTCCAACCTTCTGTCCCTTCCCCTATAGCAGCTCCCGCAGGCTGGTGTAACCTGCCTTAAAATGGTGCCCCCCTTTAGACAGACCTCTATCTCATTACCTTCATTTTCCACGGTTAACTAGGGGGAGGGCTGCATGGACGTTGACTTGGTGAGTCAACGGCATCTAACAGCAATGCCAGGGATAGAGATATGTTTTCATTTAATGACTACATTGGCTTTGCTGTGCTGGCACTTAGATGTTGTACTGAGTAGGCATGCTGAACACTATCGGCCTGGTCGCTCTCATTCAAAAAGAACAAAGCACAAGTTGAAAACTCCCCTGACTGCACAATAACTGTGCTAAAGATTGATAAGAAGAGGTGATCCTGAGAAGGGTTTTTCAAGGTGAAGTTCTCCTAGTGTCTCTGTCTCCTGACTCGCTGTTAGCCAATCAGAGAGGCCAGTGAGAGATGGACCTCCGGAAGCACCAAGGGCACATGGTGCTCAGAGGGCTCAGCCCCAGCCGTCTGAGAGTCTGCCTGACAGTCCGGCTTCAGCCACAGATTTGCTGTGTGATCTTAGGGCAAAGCACTCAACCTCTCCGGACTTCCGTTTCCTTCTCTTTAGAGAAAAAGGATAATAATAAGAGTAGTAGGATCGTCACAGGGATCAAACTCACTCGGATCAGCAACCCCGCTTGCATCCAGAACATTTACCGTCTTTATTGGCATCTGGCTTTTTACATAGTGAGAAGTCACAGGAGGCCTGTGGTTCTGGTGGCTGGCCCTCTGCGTGGACATTAGCGAACAGGAAAGACTATCCTAAGGCAATTTTCCCAACAATGTATCTGAGTAGGGAAGAAGCTATTAAGCCATTGCTTCCGTCTCCTGGAGGTATCCCCTTCAAAGATGACCGATAGCATGCGAGGTTGGGATGGTGTGGTCTCCCTGCTGCGTTTCGTGACCTTTACTAGGAGCACAGGGCAAACCTCACACCCGGGAGCCGAACCAGGCTCATAAACACAGCGCTCCGGCTTCACGGCTGGTCAGCCCTCGAGCCAGCCTGGGACAAGGATCCAGGTACCGTTTTTTTGTTTGGATGTAATTCCTTATTTGCTTTGTAAACGTCCTATCAGGGAAGCGCTCTGTTTCCTGGCAACCTTGACACAAGGACAAATAGTGTCTCTTCATGAAAGCACCCCACTCTGGGCTTCTACACAGGGGTCATCAGCACCAACAGACGCCCCAGAATCCCCCGGGGCAGCCCAGCAGCAAAGAAAATTCATACATATCACCGAAGGACACATCTAGAGCTCCCAGTTCCCAAGAGTAATCAATAGAGCCTTATAGGATGACAGCCGGGAAGGAATTTCACCCCTTGGGGGACCTCATGAGCAGTAGCTCTCACAGTTCTTCTGAAAAAGTAAGTTCAAAACAAAACAAGGTATGTGAGTGTGACTGAAATAACATTTCTTAAGGCCCTTCCCAGAGTAAGGGAGGGCAGGCTGAATAAATACTGTTGGGGCAAACATTTTAATGCCAAGGTAAGAGCTGGATTCCTGAAAGAGGATGGTGAGATGAGAGACTTGTGTTCATTTCTGTCAAGAACGTACACAACCTGTCCGTTGTTGCCCTCGTCTCCAAGATTGTACTAGGAGACTGTGGGGATATGGTTTACTTATTCTATCTGGCAAATTCCCTCTGATCTGTATTTCAGACTTGGCCTGCCATACGAAATCGCCGGCAGCCGAACCTGGGGATGTGTGACATGGTGAATGAATCATTTACTCAGGGGAACACAACCCCAACACAACCCATACCCCAACTCCCACACCAAAGCAGCAGAGAGAGGACTAACCGATTTGTCTGTTGTCTTTCCTGTCAAGATGGCCCTGGCCTTTGCTTTGGTCAGCGGGAAGGACTTTATGTATGAGTCATACAAGTGCTTGGCCAGGGCCCGGAGATCAGCAGATTCTGGGTTCAGCTGGTCGATGTCGCTGGAGATCTCCGCCAACAGTTTCTCCTTCTCGGCCTGTGGCATCCGCCCAAACCTGATGGCTATGGAGGAAGAGGAAAGACAAGATGAATCACGGACCGACTGCCTCCTCAGCCCTGTTCCCACATATGCTAGCCCTCCTTTCCATGCATCTCCAGGGCTCCTCTCCACCTACAGCTTTGCCCCTGGGTCCCATTCACAGCCGTAATTCAGGCTACCCTTATAATCTGAGGATTTGCTTTTTAATTAAAAACAAAAACAAAAAAATGTAATCCAGGATCCTGTCAGGAAGGTGAAAGGATTTACGAGTTTATTGAAGAAAGGCTATTATATTTATGGAAACATAAAATAATTGAGAGCCAGCTCTTATTTATCCCTCAAGACCCAATTCGAATGCAACTGTCTCGATAAGGCTTTCCTTGATCTCTTAAGAATAATTAATTGTTCCTTCTTCTGGTCTCCTACAACATTTAGTGCATGAGTCATTGATAACAATTTTTATACTGTAATTACTTATTTTACATGTGTATTTATTCTACTTTGGAACAAAGTCCTCAAGGTTAGAGACAGTGCCTTAATTATCTTATTTGCATCCTGGCACCTGACAAAATGAGATATCAGAAAAGACAACTTATTTCATGAATTAATGTAAAGAATTATACAGAATTCACAGTTGCACAAAAATAGACTCACTTCTCAGGGAGCTTTGTACAATCTTTTTTGTCCCTATTATAAAGAAATATGGGTGACGTTATTTTTTTATAACTCAGATACTTTCCCCCTCCCTATTAAAATTATCTGTAAAATATTATTTGGAATAATGAGGGGCAATTTTAGACTGTCTGTCTTTTCCCATAATAAGGACATTTAGATAGCATTGCCAGTATTATCCCACACATAACTCTATTAGTATACCATCATGCAGAGTATTGTCATGGTGACTGTGGCATGGCGCGCAGACTCCTTCATTAGACTATCAGCTCCCTGAGGGCAGAGATTGTGTCCTATTCCTTGCACTTTGGTGACACTCAGTAAATGGGGTTAAATATACGAATGAAGAAATGGATGGTTTCTTATTATATGTTATTATGCTACAGGTAGTACTTGGACATAAGGTATAAGAGCACATGCAACATTTACTTACAATTATGCTTGGTCTAATTGAATTATGGATTATTATAATATCTATAAGCGCTCCCGATAAAATGATCTTTTTAAAATCCCAAACAAAACATTTACTTAGGTGTATTTTGGATTAGAGAAAGAGTGATCGGTACCTACGAGTCTCAAATTCTTCTTAAACAAGCCAAATAAACTTTATCATGAATCAGTACAACTATTGTGCCGAGGCGGCCTCCGAGGAGCCTCTAGACTTACAAAGAAGAACAAGTTAGAAGTAACGGGAGTGCATTTTCATTAGGATTCCTTCTAATGAAGTTAGCATAGAATTAGACTCCTTTATTAAATATAGCCTTTGCACACAATCCCTTTAAAAAGAAATCTAATAACTAAACAATATTTAAAAATCTGGCCGAACAATTCTTGAGTCGAGAATGTTGTTTCCCTACTTGCTCTTCACCACTCTTCATTCTTGTTATTATTTTGTATGGAAAATGGCTGCCTGCACATTTAATCGATTGATGAAAGCCTTCTGCTCAAACCTACATAAACTAGGAATTACGTTAAGAACTTAATTAGGTTAAGAACTGTGAACAAATTTTCTGTATTGTGACTCCAAACTAAGATCAATCAGATATAAGATGACTAATCTCACTGGGGAGTTGAGCATCTTTAGCACCAAAGGCTCTTCAACAGGTACAAATGGCACTCCATTTGGTTAGACTAAATTTGCATAAGCCTAAATTTAAAAGTGGTAAAGGAAACACATTTTATTATTTTCATTCATTTTTAAGGAGAAAATCTCTTATTCTGTTGCTTTTGAATCCCGTGTGCTAATAACTACCTCATGAGACTACATGAGATAAGGCTTAGGGACCATGGAACATAATGTCTGGCACATAGTAATGCTTAATAAACACAGGCTGTATTACTGCGAACATGGGGCACCCCAGAGAGGGGTCCTGTGTGCTGGACTACAGGGGTAGCCATGGGCCATTTCTCCACAGACCCAAGAACAACTCCCCCAAACCTAGTCTGTCTAACTTTAAATTGATTAGGGGCAGCATGTTTTAGCTGAGTAATATGTATTTTTTGTGTGATATGTATATGCATCTCTATCTTTATATATACATATGGTGTGCTTCTTCCATGTGGACTTAGCTAACGCCTCACTTACATGGCTGCTTGTTTAAGACAATCCCTTTAAGACCCCAGAAGCTATTTTTTTCTGAGAGCTGGGCACCATCTGCTTTCTTGGCTATCACCCATTTTTTAAAAATCATTTTATTAGGGGCTCATACAACTCTTATCACAATCCATACATACATCAATTGTGTAAAGCGCATTTGTACATTGATTGCCCTCATCATTCTCAAAACATTTCCTCTCCACTTAAGCCCCCGGCATTAGGTCCTCATTTTTCCCCTCCCTCCCTGCTCCCCCCTCCCTCATGAGCTCTTGATAGTTTATAAATTGGTATTTTGTCATATCTTGCCCTGTCCGACTTCTCCCTTCACCCACTTTTCGGTTGTCCGTCACCCAGGGAGGAGGTCACATATAGTTCCTTATAATCGGTTCCCTCTTTCCTACCCACTCTCCCTCTACCCTCCCAGTATCGCCACTCACACCACTGGTCCTGTAGGGACCATCCACCCTGGATTCCCTGTATTTCCAGTTCCTATCTGTACCAGTGTACATCCTCTGGTCTAGCCAGACTTGCAAGGTAGAATTCGTGTCATGATAGTGGGAGCGACCCATTTTATAAGTTTTTCTATACATGAAATTCAGGATAGGTAACCTATAGAGACAATAATTGGGTTAATAGTTTCAAAAGGACATAGCTGGGGAGGTGGGTGGGGAATGGAGAGCTCAGAGCAACGAATACAAAGAAGAAGAAATATTTTGAAACTGATATGGTGATGGTTACACAACGCTTATGAATGTAACTGAACCACTGAAATGTATGAGATTGGATTGTATGCCAGTGAAACTGATAGTCAAAAGATTATGAACAAAAATCAAGCGATTATAAAGGAAAATATGGAGAGAGAAAGAAGAATAAAGAAAGATCATGGGCTTTTCCCATGAACGTCGTGAAGCCCTTTGCAGCTGACACATTTTGCCCGGCACCATGTCGTCAGGGATCAAGTAGGTGACACAGTGTATAATGTCTTCATTTTACTTTATGACTGACTAAATCATATTCCATTGTACGGCTATATCATAGTTTGTTTATCCATTTATCAGTTGATGGAGGCATGGGGTGTTTCTACTCTCTTGACTATTGTGAATAAGCTGCAGTGAACATGGGTGGACAAGTATCTGCTGCTGTTTCTGCTTTCAAGTCTTGGGTACGTATCTTAGAGTGGAACTTGCTGGATCTCAAGATAGCTCTGTGCTTAAGAGCTAAATAACTATGAACCTAAGCTCCCACACACTTCGGTGGGGAATCGGAGACCAAGAAGAAGACAGTACTCACTCTGGAGGATGTGGAGATTAGAGTGTTGCTTCCTCCACGACTGACAGGTAGAACAAGATGATTATTCAAGATCGGAACTGATCTAGAAATGGATAGCCTGGAAGGGGCTCATCATAGGAGCCCTGGTGGCACAATGGTTAAGCACTCAGCTGCTAGTCGAAAGCCAGCAGCTTAAACTCATCAGCTGCTCTCAGGAGAAAGATGTGGCTATGTGCTGCCGTATAATCACAGCGTTGGAAACCCCGTGGGCAGGTCGACTCTGTCCTGAAGGGTGGCTACGAGTTGCAATGAACTTGATAGCAATGGATTAAAAAAAAAAAAATTTAGAGTTGGAGTCCACTCAACAGCAACTGATAGGACCAAGTGTGCCCATATGCCATATGTTTTTTCAAAACTTCTACCAATGCAGGTTCATCCTAAAGGATTAAAGGGCAGGAGGAAAATCCTCCATATATTCTCTGAGCAAGAGTCTGTGGAAAGAACACATTACTTGACGTAGCCAGGAAGTCTTATCTCTAGTTTTAGCTCTGCAGCAGGTTAGCTGGGGGCCTTTAAGAAAATTACTTAAATTCCCAAGTCCTCAATGTCCTTCTTCTAGATCGGAGGGCTTGAGAAGGCTCTTCCAAGTTTTAAATTTAGCTAGAAAATTCCACAAGTCCCTATGACACACAGTAGTGGGACACATTCTACAGACTCTTTCTGGGAAACAATAACTGTCTGGGTTTTGAGGCGCCAAAAATACGCATTCTACCGTTCTGCAGATCTTCTGTCTGTCACTTGTAGCAACTTCCAGATCATTGGCATTCGGGATAATCGCCGATAGAGAATTCACGTAACTTGTCAGTTAATATGTGCCTTTCAGGAAAACTAGGCTTGATAGAGACCGATTAATCTCTGGAGAAAGTATATAGCATTACATTATCTTAACTTTATACAATGTCTTTTGCATGTGACTGATATTACTGAACACACAAACCCCTGAGCATGTGGAATAGTTAGGTATTCTGCATTTTAGGTCTGGGTATTTTAAAATAATAATAATAACATCTCCCTAACTGTACACGAATGCTAAACTCACTGCCATCGACTGGCTTGTGTCTCCTGGGGACCCTGCAGGATGGAGTGGAACTGCCCCGTAGGTCTTCAAGGGTGAGAGCACCAGGTCTCATCTTCCTCCAGCAAGGGGGCTGGTGATTTCGAATGGAGCCTGTGATTAGCAGCCCAATTTAGAACCCACTCTGCCGTCAGGGCCCCTCTCCCGCATTGTAGGACCATAAAAATCAGATGGTACTTCGTTACAAAGATTAATTATGGAACATTTGAAATATAATCAATCAATGGAAAATGGGAAAATGAAATAAATTAAGCCTTATTACCATTTTTGCTTCAGTTTATAACCATCTTAGACTTTTGGCCATCAGTAACACTATATGTCATGATAAAAACTTTGCATTTTAATGTTTA